GAATAGAATCACCAACCTTTAGCTTTTTATTCACATTAATTCAGAAAGAGTAAACTAATTAGAATGTAAGGTTTTTCTAATAGTGTTTACACCATACATGTTCTTTTTATATTTAAGTATTTACCAAATGGCTGCTTAAGAACCTAGGACATCACTCATTGCATTTTTGACTGCTGTTTTAAAGCCTTGAGTTCTGCAGAGTTGTTTGGAATCAGAAGTGAGCATTTTTGGACAAGAGGGTTGATTTGACCGACAGTGAGACCTGGTGAACCAGCTTAGCTAGGTAGCTTGGTTATCATGGTGCCACACTTAACTTTAACTGGTGTCAATTGTGATACTGAAGCTAGCGAATACTTATTGGAAAGAATTCTGTGGTAGTTATAATGCTAACAATTGATCAATCACAAGGTAGCCATACCCTAACCGAGCTCTGCCTTATTGTCTTATTTACTCTAAATGGGAGCATAATCTACAAAATGATCATCATGATGTATTTTAAAACATTTTAAACTAGTGATTAAGACCATGAGACTAATACATCAAGTTATAAGTAGGGTCATTTTCTCATATACATCAGACTTCTTTTTGCAACCAGTTGAGTCATACCTTTCTGGACATTACAAATAATCCAGTTTCACTCTCAGACCCAGAAGTTACTCTTTGTTGAAACGATTAAAATAACGAAGAAATCCCTAAAATACTAGTCTAGAAAGCTAGAGACAGAATAACAGTATACAGGTTTAAACAGTCAGACCCATGGGGCTGGCAGGTGTTGTTGTGACTGAACTGTATTCTGGATTTACCATTGTTTAAGAAATATTTAATTGGCTATTACGTGATATTAGAGCTCATTCACAAGCGTTTGTGTAAATATGTGATAAAGATCTTTCACCATTCAAAGTAAATGCAGAATGAAGTGCCAGTTAAACATCTCTGCTAACGCACTCCTGTCTGGTTCAGCTGTGTCCTGGTAATATAATACAAAGTAAATGAGAAAATGAAATTATTTCAGAGATGTATGGAAATAGCGCTTCATGGTCAATTTCCCTGCAATAGAGTCAACACAGCAGCCCAGGAAGGATGACAGGCATACATCTTGTAAGGCCTCGTAAGGTTCATTGACATTCTTGATGGTAAGTGAACTAGCTGGAAGACTGTAAGAGAGGGAGAGAGTATGACATGTAAACCAATTTAGTCGCTAAAATTAATTTTGGCGCAGTGACGGTCGTGTTTCTCGAGGCTATGGGTGAGTGCTAATGTGATTCTGAAAACATGGGAAAATAAAGCTGATATAACATTGCAGGTTCACTGTGAGTGTTGTACGATTGTGGCACTGGGTGTTGCTAACATTTTAATACAAGCCTACAGTACAACAATATTATGTTGTAGATAGATACCAAACATGGCCAGGGTTATTATGCATGCCAGGGAAATTTAGCTTGCTGCCTTATTTCAAACACAGTAAGAGGGTGAGTAGCTCCGTACGCCAAGTTCCACAGAAAAACATCTTTTGATTTTTCCCGTAGCATACCATGCTGCTTTGATCTCTTCTTTTTTTTTTTCTCGTGGCAGAGTCGTGCTCCCCTCAGGAGACCAGCTATATTATCCCCCCCAGCCTTAATTCATCAGGAAGTGTTAAGGGATCAGTGTGTCAGCTCGGCTTAAGAGCAGATGACAAACTGAGACTTCTCGCTGCCTTGATACAGTCTCTTTTGCTACCGTATTTTATGCTTTCCAAATCAACGGGTAATTTGACATTTGTTGATACAGTGTGTTGGTTTATTGGATCAGGTTGTTTGTGGCTGCCTTTAATCTTACATGCTCTAATGCAAATCATTTACAGTCGCTTAGATGTATTTTTCCAGCAAAAACGAAATAGATTTTTGCAGCAGTATGTCTTTCCTGAGCACAAATAGAGTCTTACTCACACAGGCAGTCATCCTAATGGTGGCTTTATGTGTTGGCACATTTTCAACTTTTCTTTTCATGGGTGTACTTGAGAGGTCATCATCACATGGGAATAGACCCACTGTTCTTCATAAGGCCTATTGTTTCGAACTCATCCGTGGGCCTTTTGACAGTTATAGCGCGGTCTATTTGAAGTTGTCGTCACACTATGACAGTTAGTGAGATTTAACGAAGACTGTGCTCCTCTCTAAGGCTCTCTCTGTTTACAATAATAAGAATGTGCCATTCCTGCAGAGGGGTGGTTGCTGCCTCTCATGTGTCTTTCTGTATGTGTGTTTACTTGTATACATATACATTGTTATACGCACCAACAGCCTATATTTACATGATGTATGTTTGCATGGAGTTTTTAGCACGTTTGAAGTTGTATTTCGTTTTTCTAAAGAGAAAAAATGTAGAAAGTTTCCAAATAGTGCAATTTACTTTACATGCAATACACGTTTGCAGAGACATTTCAATGCACAGACATTTTTTTGCCATTTAAGAACAGAAATTAGGATACTTTTAAGCTGATCCTGGGCGAGTGCATGAAGGAATGAATGAAGACAGATGATATGCCTATTTTGGTTTCCAGGGGGCTTTGCAGCATACATACTGTATAGCTATGACCATTTGTCACTGCATTAAGCTTACCATATTTCGCTTTCTGTGAGACAGATAGACCAGTATCTTAGGTTTTATCATTACAGGCAGCAAACTTAGTTCTGTCTTGGGTCAGGGATTTTATTTTATAAAGTTCCTTTAAATGTGAAAAAATGGTTTTCTTGTCGACAACTCAACAATCACTTCTAGTAACCTTGTTTGGATACAGAGCACACAGCCTCTCCGATATATGCTCATTCGCGCTGACTTCCCTCTCGCCATCTCAAGACAAATTAATTTCTCAGAGTTGCCTTCAGCTGCAGGGCCGGCCATTGCACAGCTGTTGCAACCAACTGCAGCACTTTAAAACTCTTTCAACTCTATGAATCATTCAGTTTGGCAAAATATCTCTAGATTCACTGCAGATGATGAAGTATTTCATCCTCGTATACCGCCATTAATGAAACACTCAGCAGCAGAATGCAGTTTTTCGAGAAAAAAAATCTAATTTGCGCAAAACTATGCATTGCTGTCACTGCGGGCAAAATCTAAACTAATGATCATATCATTGTTCTTCTCTCCCCTGCCCAACTTCTGGCTTGTCATGCACTGCTAATATGGACATCCACGCAGGCTCAGGTCAGTGCCGTTCATTCTGTACATATACTCTGCTATAGCTAATGAAGACTAAATGCATGTTGGATGTGTCACATACACTCCTGTGACCCTTTTGGTCGAGAAAAAGAACATTAGTTTAAAAGAGAGTGATACATGGATGTGAAGTGCATTGGGATGACATTTCATCTGCGTATTAACTGGAGAGACTCAGATTGGCATTTTCTAAAGAAGGACTTACTATACACAATTATTCCAATAGTAGGATAAAGCTTTTGAGGGTGTGCAGAGCCGTGTAATATCATTTTTGTATTAGCTATCAAAAAAAATATTTTAGAAGTGTCTAAAGCCGAGCAGAGGATAGAGATTAATCGATATTGCTCATTTAACCAATGAGAGATGTTGGTCTGTATTAGCTGATTTTTTATGATAGCCTGTTCATCTTCGTAAATGTGTGCGACCTAAGATGTACTTCAGTCTAGAATCCAGTACTTCTGTGTCCGAATGCACAAGCTTTACCCACCGAAAAAACGTTTGACACCTTTTGTGTTATGCCACTATAACCAATGTTGCGAGTGTAATGGTCACATGATTTCTGATTAAACAAATTGTATAGGTGCTCAGTAAAAAGTGTCTGCATTTCAGGGAAGTAACTAGATTATTGTATTGCTTTTTTTGAAAATGTGCTGTTAAGCTGGAATTGTGTTTCTACAGTAGTGGTGTAGAAAGTGCAGAGCAGTTGCCAGTTTACCCAACAGGGGCATCTGCAGGCACAGATGGGAGATGATGAGGGTGTGTAATAGGCATCTGTGTGGCCTCTAGGAGAGGGAATACTCAACGCTCATTCCCTCTCTACAGTCTGCAGCACACACACACACACACACACACACACACACACACACACACACACACACACACACACACACACACACACACACACACACACACACACACACACACACACACACACACACACACACACACACACACACACACACACACACACACAACACAGTTGCACACCCATTACAGCTTGTCATAGCTTTTTCCGCAAATTGTCCTCTAGAGTATACCTTTTACTGTGGCAGACTGTTACATAGATAGAGAGTAAACATGTGTTTACAGGGGCATTGCGCTAGCTGCTCCCTTGGTAACAGAGCTATGCCAGAGTCACAGGTTGAGAGGGAGGAAGAGAATAGGCTCTACATCCAGCCAACTGCATCTTCGGCTGAAGGGCCTTACTGCCATGGTCATTTTCCTTTCACACATCGCATGCCGTTCCCTCCATATTATGCATAGGTCTTATTAAAGTATGAATAGTGTTAGTCATAATACATTCGTGTCCTTTCCTGCAGTGCTCATTTGTAAGTTCAGAGCCCCACTGTGGTAAAAGGTGCTCTTTTCTTTAGTTCTGGAGTTGAATAATCCTTTTCATTTCTGATACTCACATTATATTCCAACACTGAATGTAGAAAATATCAGGGTCCTTTTCAAGATACAAAAAGGATTACTGGGTAATGTATACTAAACTAACGTCCACAGGAAAGAAATGTCATTAAGGGCAAGTGTTTGATTTTGAATACAAGAAGAGAATGCTACCATATGATGTAATTTCAAGAGGCATGTTGACATATGGTTTCAAGAAAAGGACAAGAAATTATACCTTGTTGCTTTTTCTCTTAGTTTTACATTATGTATTGTGTATTATGAAAGTGAAAGTGTCCCAAATATGTTTTATATTCCCCAAAACTTTCTATAATCCCCCATGTGTGTCCTTTTCCTTGTGTGTATGTGTGTGAATTTGTTCATGCGTGGGTTTGCATGCACGTGTGCAGGTGTACGAGGCTGTGCCGTGCCACAGTGACTGCGGCCAATATGAGTGGAGGATCGAGCCCTGGTCCATTTGTACCATCAACACTGTGGACGACCTGCCAGCCTGCGGGGAGGGAGTCCAGAGTCGCAAGATCAGGTCAGTGAGCGGGTTAGCTTGGCGCGCTGCTAGCCTGGCACCACAACACACACTGGCAACAGTCCTGTAGCTGGCACTCACACCCGTCCTGACACTTGCAATACCAGGGGAAAACAAACAGTTGAAACAAACTGCTGCTTACTAATGAGAGTTGTTAGGTTTTCCACAGTGCCTTTTTAGTGCTGTTTAAAATTGCCACAGAGGGAAGCAGTGAAGGTATGTCCTTTTTTCTGCAGGAAACATGTACAAGTGTTGGTTTTGGATTATGCTCCATCAGAGGGTGGGTGTTATTGTGTGAAAAGCAATTTAATTGGTCTTGTTTAGTATAAGCCTACCTTTGAGTGTGAGGTAAATTAGTCCCAATCAACTACCTAGCTGTTGAAAAGGCTTATAAATCTGCATTTTGGTAGACCAACAATCTTGGAGTTAGAAATTGCCTTTTATTTTCCACATTTTTTAAATGTGCATACAGTTTGAAACTTGAACACCTGCCTGTTTTTCAGGTTTGTCACATATTTTAACAGTACCCTCAGGAGTGAAAATATGCTAAAAGTGTATCTGATTTGTGATGATGTGATTTGTGATTTACCACACACACCATTATTTTCTAAATATCTAATCTGTTTACAGCCTAGGGTCTAGATTCAATGGTAAATATTACAGTCTGTTTTAATGCAATACTCAGTCTTTTGAATAAAAAAAAAGAGTGAAAAGAGTACTTTTTATCTAAAACCCATTTCAGTTTTATGCAGCAACGTATTTGGAGAGCCTAGACACATTGAAAACAAAAATTGTGGAGACTTTCGAAATAAACAACTTGCAAAAACTCAACTGTAGAAACTTAGAAATGTGTATGAAAACTCAAAAAAGGACCCACTTAGGAGTGCCCATGAGACTAGTTATAAAGCTGCATCTGCTGCTCTGCTAGGTGTGTGAGGCAGACTGCAGCGAGTGGGGAGAACAGCACGCTGGAGGACAGTCTGTGTGATCAGGAGGAAACCCCCCCCACAGCCCAGGTCTGCTTCCTGGCCTGCCCCAACGACTGCGTCATGGCACCCTGGGGTCCCTGGACCAACTGCCCTGTGGTGAGAAGCTGAGATTTACTGACTGTTTCCTTGGTTGGTTGATAGGTTGACGTGCAAAGTGGGATCATTTATTGGTATCATTGAAAACATGTCCAGTGTCATCAGCATAAAAGCGAACACAGTTTTTTCAGAGAGGTTTTTAGTTTTTTTAATAACACATTTTTAAACATCCCTGACATTATTGGTGTATTTGCAAAACATAAATATTGTATTTAATATCTTAGTGGGAAGTTATATTTGACATGTTTTTCCATTTTGTCATGTAGTTAAATATTTATTATTTAATTATTTTTCTTTGTTAATATTCAGAAAAGTAAGCTAATTGTTTAAGATACGCTAAAACAAAATGTCTGTCTTTCTCACTTTCTAAACCTGTACATATCATGTAAAATGAATGGGTTTTGGGGCTGCTGGTCGTAAGCCATCACATTTCCAAATGTCAGTTTCAACTGGTTTGTGACATTGACATGTGTGATGTTTGTAATGTAGCACATTTTTAGACGCCACTCCAATTATTTAGTCTTGCAATAGATTTAGCAATTCAAATGATCAACAGCTGCAGATTAAAACAGTCAAAAAAACAAGAATGTTTCATCAGTCTTCCTAAAAAATGTAAGGTTAAAAACATTTTAATTACACATGATGGAGATGTTTGTAATTGTTGCTAATAAAAGTAAATGTTCTTAAGATCTCTTGAGTGCATCCACCAGCTGCTCTGTAACCTTGTGTGGTTTGAAACTGCTCTTTTGGTACTGCAAATGAAATTGAGTGTAATAATGTGCCTCCAATTTTCGATGCCCTCAGTCTTAAACTTAGTACAGGTCCCCCTGTGTGTCCAGCCCCAGGCTACTGGTCACCCGGCCACATAGGCGTGTTATATGTTTCCTGTCAAACACAACAGCTCAGTGGGCCGGAACATTGGAGTCAGAGCAAGAGCAGAGTGGGAAAAAGAAATAGAGAGAGAGATTACTTACTTAGTCCGAGTTTTCTTCACAGACATTTTGTCTCATTCAATCTTTTAGTGAGCAAGCTTTGGCAGACATTTTAACATCAGTAAAAATCAGCCATCTAATGAATTGGCTTATAAAATAATGCTTAAACTGTTCACTAGAAAGCTCATTAAACTGTGACAGCCTTATAAACTGTTACTGGTGATTTGTTTCGACAGTTAAATCAACCCAAAAAACATTTAACACACGTAGTGCAATACAGTGGGTAGAGAAGGTGACAGTTGTATTTTGATCTTTTTTCATCCCTCAAATGACTTCTGAAGTAGGCAGAGCTCATAAACAAGAATTCAGTCTTGTTTTACAATGAAATGGTACCGCTTTAACAATCGATTTGAGGACACTAGGAAGCAGTGAAACTCATACCATAAAAAGATGTAAGATAACTTGGGATGTGAGATTTTACACAATGGTAATGAAACAATAAAATGTATTTTATATTACACTATACCGAGCCCTTTCCCAATAGAACAAAACACATCAAAGTGAAATTATTCTGCTCACAATTGTCTGCATGAATTGAACTGCAACGGTTTCAAAATCTAACGAAGGCTCTATACATTTATACATCATTGTTTTAATTATAAAACACCACTGGTAGAAGAAGAGTCAAAGGTTAACAGTTATTGCATTCTACAAATGTTCTATAAACCTCACATTTGCAAAACTCCTCAACTAAATCTTTGCATTAAGTACAGAATAAACCCACCATGCTTTCATAGAGAAACACCTTTGTGACAACTGTTGAGTGGGTCATTATTCATCAAGACATTAATGCTCATCTTAAAAAGACACATCCTACTTCCTGATGACCTGGAAGAAACATAAGTGTTTTATTTCGCACACTAACTTTTGTGAACACAGAAATGTTTGGTGTAAAAAGGCTAGTCCACTTAATGAACATGGAGTAGTTGTACAGCCCTGGGCCATTCCTGTACTCAGCTGGAATGAGCATTGTGGGATTGTGGGGGTCCGAGGGTGACACAGTAATGCCTAATAACACTGTAAGTGTTTTATGTATGTAAAAGCCAACTGTGTCAACACAAATGCTATTATGGGGGATCGCATTTAGCTCCAATACCCTCTAGAATAGAGCAAACCCATACAATCGATAAAAAACCCAGTGCAATCTTTATGGTGAAGTAAACATACTTCATTAAAGTTGTGTTTTTACACAATGTTATTATGTTATGAGTACATATCATCGATACATCTTTTTATTGAAATAAGGCTCATGTGAGCCCTACACTTTCCTCCAAAAGAAATTAAAGATTCAAGGCTTTATTGTCATATGCACAGCAGCTACAGTGTAGATATGGCAATGAAAACCTGTCCCAGGCTCCTCCAACAATGCAACAGGAATATATATAGGACATAGACCAGATAAAACCAATACAAATAGTGCAAGAAATAACAGAATATAAATAAAATACTGCAAGAGAATGTTGTAAGATGTGCAAGTAAATAAAATAGAAATAGAAATAGTGCAAGAAGAGTCTATATACACGTAAATGAAATATGATATAGATAAATAAATAGCAAGATGCAAACAGATGCATGTTTATGGAGGCACTTGTGTTTTTTTTTTCGGAATTGTATATGTTCATTTAGGAAACAGTATTCAGTAATGTTATAAAACTTAAGCTGCTTCAAAATTGCATTATATATAATGAACTGAAATGAAGAGAAAGCAAATGGCCTACCCTGACCTGTAAGGCAGGAAAACAAAATCCATCAGTTCTCATTACCGGTGTGTGTTTTCATCTTGCAAACATACTGCATATCAGGAGTGGGCGTACTCCCCGTGACATCACTCAGTTTACAGTTTGGAAGCTTTTGCATGGATGAAGATTTTTCTAAACTTTGGCTCTTTTACGTCAACAACCAAACGTCCATTTAAGCATTCAGATTGTAGGATCTCCTGTTTGTTGCATGTGCAAGGCTGTGTGACAGTTGGTGTGAAAACATTAGGGGCTCAACGACTGCAGCTGATTCATGAGCCTCACACAGAGGCCCCTCATTAGGAGGTGACAGTGATGGAGGTGCATGGTGTGAAGCATCAGGAGCAGAGGGGCAAATACAGCTCAACGCAGAGAGATTTATCAGAGGAATCTTTCTTCTTTCCTCAGAGCTGACAGTTCCTCCACACATTTTCACACATTATTAGCTTCTCTCTTCACAGATTTCCACTGTTTTGGGTGATTTGCATTGCATGTCCCTTGTAGATGTTAGGTAAATGTGGCACTCAATTAATATTTTAATAATTATCACTCTTGTCATCATCAGCCTTCAACAGCCCTGCATACAAGTCAATAGTGCAGTAAATTCAGGTATCTGCCAGGTTGCCTTCTCTGCAGGATTATTCAGACAGAAATGACAGCCTTTATTAGCACTGTAGGCAGCAGTTAGCTTATTTCCTGTCAAGTTATGTTGAATTCCATTCAAACAAGTGTCCCAGTTCTTTCAAAGGCCTCAGGTGGGTGATATAAGAGGATGTTGATACAGATTTATGTCAGTAAATGTGCACACTGTAGAGATTCCCATAAAAGTAATAACACCTTGTTTAAAAAGGATTACACAGAAACTAAACTATTTTAAAGTTTCACAATGCGGAGATATTTGATCATATTTATAGGATACTATCTCTAGGATGTACATCATAGTTAGATAGATAATGTGTCATATCAAGAGAAAAAAAAAATTTCTGTGTGGATTTTCAAGAGCAGATTATACATTATTCTGGAACAAGGGTGGGATGATGAGGTTAAGATGGTAAAAGTGCATAATGGGGTTTTACTATTGAAATTGGAATTTAGCATAAATGTCTTGCTATACAGACTTTGAGGGCATGTAATTGCCTTAAGTTCTTTCATAACAGAATAGGCTCAAATTGTGGGTAGGATGGCTTGAAAGGAGAGCGTTCATTCAAAAATTGCAATCGTAGTATAGAAGTATTGATATCACTCGATTGAGATATAAGGAATATTTATTTTAAAATGGTTAAACTCAAAACACATCTTCTTGTAAGAAATCTCCATGGCTTTAAAAGCATAATGAGTTTCATTTCATGTGCGTATCACACTCTTTTTTTTTTTATATTTTCACTTTACCCATATCAATTATTCAGTGACATTTAAAAAATCATTCCAGACAAAAAATCAACCCTCTTGACATTTACATAAAAGCAAATCGCAGTTTGTAACAGAACTCAAGTCGGTCATGGATACGCATTAAGATGACAATCACGGTACTTTTATATAATTGAAATAGCTTCTCAAAAACAAGAAAATAATTGTGAAAAAGCAACCACTTCAGGTCATGTGCTAATTACATCTTCAACAAAAAAAAAATTGAAAATACAAATGTGACCATATTTAGCTACTACTGTACACTTCTGCTGTCAAAAAAAAAAAAAAAACGTTTTTTCTTATAACCAATGGTGAAATCCATTCCATCCTACTAACCCCCACGTTCCAAAATCCATGTTGCATTTTCAAAGAGCAAGTTATGTAAAGGCTATTGTTCTGATATTAGATTGCTTGAATGTAACAGGGCAGGGCTTCAAAGGGCACTCTGTTGTTTTGAGTTTTGTGGAAAAATCATACTCAATTGTATTTCCCAAAAAAACTGAATACAGAATAACAGTATTTTATGATGCACCCGGGTGACTATAGTGAACATTGCTATTTGCACCTAGCCACATTGGCTGTTTAATATTACTGCTGTTAAAAAGGCAATTTATTTTCTTATTATGTTAGAATGTTATAACTCGTACATTTTTCACATAAAAACAATCTTTATATATAAATAATAACTATAACCTGTTTGTTGCACTCCAAGTCTTACTACTATTGCACAAAGAAGCACTCATTCCTAACCCTTACTTTAGGTTGCCTCAACTGAAAGCATTATTATCAATATATATAAATGCAGGAGATGGCTTTTGGTTTCTTTGGCCTGCTCAAGGACGCCTTTAATTCATCCCATCCCACTCATCTCTGAAAATATACCATGTGTCCTTGACAGTGACATGCTTCTTTTGTTGATGCAGCAATGTGACCAAGGAGCAGCGCGGAACCGGAGCAGACACGTCCTCCGCCTTCCCGCCTCTGAAAGCTCAGCCTGTCCAGAGCTGGTCCAGACCGAGCCCTGCCTCCTCAACAGCAGCTGCTTCTCCTACGACTACAGAGTCTCAGGTGGGATATAAGGGAATGAGTTGGAACAGGAAGACAGCAGAGGTGTGGACTCGAGTCACATGACTTGGACTCAAGTCAGACTCGAGTCACCAATTTGATGACTTTGGACTCGACTTGACAAAATCACAAAACACTTGCGACTCGACTTGGACTTGAACACCAATGACTCGGGACTTGACTTGGACTTGAGCCTTCTGACTTGAGGTGACTTGATAATTTAATTCAGGGGTCTCCAACACGCCGATCGCGAGATGCCGCTCGAGAGAAGAGCAGACTCCCGTCAGGGAGAGCAGAATCTTCAGCCGCTGCAACTCTTGCTGAGAATCCATGCAGGCAGGGGCGGGACTTTATTTTGCTGAGCCACCATGCGGCCAATCATATGCGAGGACACACTAGGATCATACCATTATGTGAAAGAAGGGTGGGGGGCAGACGCTCCAAAGACAGCAGGTGTAGTGGTACAGGCCAGCTACACAGAGCGACGGGGAGACGGGGAGCCGGATTTAAATGCAAGCGCGTCGGAAAAAGTCAAGAAATTTGCGAAAACCGAAAAAAGAAGCAGCTTCTGGCTGCATTTCAATGATATTGGAGAAAGCAAAGCTGAGTGCAAGATTTGTCAAATGAAAATAACCTTCAGAGCAGGGTTTTTTTTTTGGTAACCACTCAGGATTTATTGTCAGAGGTGGGAGAAGTTCAGATCTTGTACTTGAGTGCCAGAGTGTAGGAATACTCGGTTACAATAAAAGATCCTGCATTCAAAATGTTACTCAAGTAAAAGTACAAAAGTATTATCATCAAAATATACTTAAAGTACCACCTGCAGAGGGATGTAGATTCAGGTTCTTTTCCCCATAGAGACGCCTCGCTGCACATTATCCCTTGCATAAAGATAGATTGTGGGTCCCTTATAACATGTTGTACACAGTGGAAATAAACATTCTGGTTACCTCAACATCAGGGATCTTATCCATTAAACTCCTTCTGAATCAAACCGTCACGGTAGCCTAACCTTACTGATCCCTCTTACAATAGAAGAAAACACGTTACTTTACCAGCAGAGAGAAAATGGATTATTAAATTATTAATGTGACTAATAAAGAGGAGTTTGATTATTAAGTATTATTCTGTTGATCGATGTCATTACATTTGTTGAAAAGCACATAAGGACTTGTTTAAGACTCGTTTTGTCAAAGTTTAGGACTTGGACTTGACTTGAACTTTCCCATCCTGACTTGAGACTTAACTTGGACTTGAGCGCTGAGACTTGAGACTTGACTCGGACTTGAGCGCAAAGACTTGAGACTTGACTCGGACTTGCAAAACAATGACTTGGTCCCACCACTGGAAGACAGTATAGAATTTGTAATCTCAATGCCAAAGTATTGAACTGAATGAAGCAAGGTATTTGTGCTTGGCCACGTAAAGATTCCCAAACTATAGAATTCAGCACATTGTTGCCTGTTCGAACTGACAGTGATCCTGGGCATACACGCTGTCTGGGTTAACTCTGATGCTAATGTGTGTGTGTGTGTGTGTGTGTGTGTGTGTGTGTGTGTGTGTGTGTGTGTGTGTGTGTGTGTGTGTGTGTGTGTGTGTGTGTGTGTGTGTGTGTGTGTGTGTGTGTGTGTGTGTGTGTGTGTGTGTGTGTGTGTGTGTGTGTGTGTGTGTGTGTGTGTGTGTGTGTGTGTGTGTGTGTGTGTGTGTGTGTGTGTGTGTGTGTGTGTGTGTTGCAGACTGGAGCACTTGCCAGCTAGGTGAAAACGCCATCTGTGGTCAGGGTTTTCGGTTACGTCTCCTGGACTGTATTCGCAGCGATGGCAAGATTGTGGAGTTGAAGAAGTGCGAGCAGGTAATCACTGTGTAGTCACACATCATTTACATAATGCTTTCTGCAGTCAACAGAAAGCATGTTGTTAAAAAAGCCCAGATAAGAAACTGCGTTTTTGGCAGTTTTCTGCATCTTTTTTGTTGTTGTTCTTACTGGGCAAACACCAAATGAGTGTTAACATTAGGCGCGTTCTCACCGGAGTATTTTTCACCGTACTTTTCGCGTTTAGTTCCGTTAGTACCCCTTATGTCGCGTTCACACCAAAAAGAGCACTTAATCCCGGGAACTTTTACCCCCATTTTTAGTGCCTGCTGAGAGATGGTACTTTCCTGGGGGAAAAAAGTGCCCCAGTTCTGGTTGGCTGGGCGAATTGCAAACCACGCCCCGTAAAACTCTGAAATGTTTTGTAGAGCCGCCATTTTATTATCCTCGCATTAGCATTATTAGCATTAGCATTCACCCAGCGCACAAACGCAGAGAGACTAACTTATGGCAACACAAAATAAAACATGGGAGCGGTGGAGATGAGGAGGTGTCGGCGTTCTGGCGATTTACTCTGAAGGCTTCAGTAGAAGCTGCTGGGAGTCCCAGCAGCTTCTACTGAAGCCAGTCCCCAACTCCGGGGACTTCCGGCCGGGGACTCCGGGTGGCAGTATACGCCGTGAAGTTGTTTGCGGCCTGCCAGTAAACCCAAAGCAGAAGAAGACGAAGTGACGTCAGCGGGTCATTTGCGTTATCTTCCCTCAGGGAATTTATTCCTGTGTGAACGCGATCTGTACTAAGTGCCCTGGGGTAATAAGTGCCGGGGCACTGAGTGCCGGCACTGAGTACGGCAAAGTACTTGGTGTGAACGCGGCTATTAGCTTAACCGCAACCATTTTCTGTACATTACTTAATTGTCTAGTATAGTTTAAATAAATGTAAACAAATTACGAGAAATACCTCACTAATTTGCCTCCAGGCTGCTGTGTTCTGTTTGGATTGTGGTTTCGACAGTTGGTAAAGCAATATATCTCCCGAGTCTCCAGCAACAGTTGCACTTTAACACAATTTTATTTTTCATCTCAATGTGTCAGGGTACTCCTGCGAATATGCAAGGTGAATAAAGCTGAAAAATGTGAGGTGCTCAGCAGCAAAAATTGCATCTTCACAGTCATTTAAAAAACAAAACCCATAAAGTTGACCCCTGGCTGAAATGTTCCTTTGTCTGATCAGGGCCTGTTAGTTTTAAGGGGCCCTATTATGCTAATTTCCAGGTTCATATTTTAATTTGTTTGCCTCTCGTGTGACATGTTTACTTGCTTTAATGTTCAAAAAGATCTTTCTGCTCTCATACTGCCTGTGCTGTAGCTCTTTTCACCCTCTGTCTGAAACCAGAGCCCAGTCGGCTCTGATTGGTTAGCTGGCTGGCTCTGTTGTGATTTGTCAACCGCACAGAGATGTCCTGCCCCATAGCCTATCACATACCATGTGTTGGAGCGCTAGCCAATATAATCACTATGTTGCAGAAGTAAACAAAGGAGTCAAATGGAGCTATTCAGGCAGGCGGGGGAGTGTGTGAGAAAACTTTGGGATTTCAGCCTTTGAAGACCATTTACAAAAACCTATATAACACACTGCAGGAAAGGGAAAAATCTAAATAGGGCCAGTTTTAATATTTTTTTAATTGGCAATGGATATAGACATGGAGGTATAAGCAGGCATTGTTACTCTAATGTTTGTTTTCTTTTCATATACCATATATTTGAACTCTTAACCAATGCCGATGGGGACAGGAAATAGAGTGCGCCAAATGACATAGAGCCACCTAACAAGAACAATTGGAATATTGTATTGTACTTTGTTTGGAGTGTGAACTATTGATTGGTGCTGAGGCACAACACTTCTTCTTGTTTCCACTGGCTTATACATAATTGAAAGCCCAGTTGACCAATTTGTTTATGTGAAAATGTTGTATCTAATCTCAACATCTTTATTCTCAAACGTTACTAAATTGTATTGCCTAGATTTATTAATGCAAAGATAGATGCAACTCTTAAAGATGCTGCAAGTTACTGTCTATTCAATACAGTAGTTGCTGCACTATTGTAATGGTTGGTTGCAAACCGTTTATCAGTCTTGTGGCACAACCTGCAGTTAACTTCTGGTATACCCAGTTTTATGGCTATGAAGGATGTGATATTGTCACCTGTGTTCGGTATAATGTCCTTAAACAGCACGATTCCCTCTCATAAAAGTTCAAATAATGTAGCTCAATAACATTTGAAAGCAAGGTTAATGGTAAAATAGTTTGATTGCCTCATCTTCCCCGCCCTGAAATGAACTGCAGCCTATTTAAATTATGGAAATCTGGGTACTCAGTCTCTCTTGTTCGTGGAAATAATTAGTCGGCCCTCCTCAATCTCTTGTTGTTTTCCACAGCTGGGTCTGATCAACAAGTGGAGGCTGATGGAAAGCTGCGTCGTGGACTGTCCTGTCAGCTGTTTACTCTCTGAATGGTCGCCGTGGGCTGAATGTTCCCACACCTGCGGTAACCAAGGTAAACACGCGAGAAAACAAACTTAATTCAAACACCGTGAACCCAAACCTGATAAACAAAGATGACCACATGTGCGGGGCATCATTATTCCTTCTTTTCGGGCACATGCCAAGATGTTAATTCAGCATGAATACATTTAAATGCATTAAAATATTTACGAGTATGTGTAATCCACCGCCTTATTATACAGGGAAACAGTGTGCTGAGTTTTTCCTTTCTTCAATAATGTATATATTAATATTCCCACTTTATTCTGTACGAGGCTCATTTTTCTAAACGACTTTACTTCATGAGGTTGGATTTTTAAGAACGGCAGGTTGATTTAAATTACATTTTATACAGGTCACCTTTAGGGACGTCATAAATGATTCACTGCTCCTAAATAAAATATATACCCTTCCTTAGGATGATTTAAAAAATGCAATTAGTAATCAAAAAACCTGTAGAATGCTCATCATCTCTTTGAGAAAGCCATGTTATAACCTCATTCAAAATGCAAAAGTTAATTATTTAACCGGGATGCATACATTGTTGTCTGGGGTCTCCCAAAGCCAATCCCCCGGACCAAAAACGTGTTATTCTCTTAATTAGAGAGACTCAACAGCATCTTTTTAAGTTCATTAATTTTAAGTTGGCTCTTCGTCCCCCCACGCAGTTAACCCCTCATTCCAATAAACTCATACTTCCATTCGCTTCCAACTGGGGATTTAATACTCTGTCTGTCTGTCTCCCTTCGATCTGTCACTGTTGCTGTGACTCTGTTTCTGCCACACTCTGTGTTCATTTTCACACATTGTGAAACAAATCTGTCAGCCTTGATGAGGGATTTGCGTCGTATCTGTGTCAGACGACTCAAGGATCGTGTTCTGTCAGGATCCCGCGGGATTGCTAATGTTTTGGTTTTGATTTTTTGAGATGGCAGGGCTGAACGTCCTTTTTTTTTTCATGTCTGCCTGGGGCCCATGGAGCTCAGCATCTCCCCTGGCATAACACGAACACACACACACAGCTTCTGTCTTTACTGGAAGGCTGATGGAGACCAGGCCATTCCTTTACTAAGCCTCAGAGGACCCACACATTGAGCGGTTACAACATAGTAAACCTACTCCAGCCAGTACTTACTGTTGCAATTTACCAAACTTCCCTCTCATCCATTATAAATGTCTCACTTGAACCAAACACCTTTTTTTTGTAGAAACCATAAGTGGCACGGTGACACAGATGTATGGTGCTTGTCATGAGGAAAACATATTATGGGCTAAAGAAAAGGCGCAGCGTCTTTCCACTCCTAAATAAATCATCATTCATTCCATCCACTTGTTTTTAACTGTTATTTCATGGGGCCTTTTGTTTGTGCAGTGATGCATTTATTTCTCTCACCACCAATCACATGGTCTCCACTCCTATGAATCCCACAGTGTTTTGTTCTTTATTGAAATAGTTTGTCATAATAATAAAAGCGGCCCTTAATGTTGTTTAAGAATCATAGATACAAAGGATGTAGGGCTTGAACATTGGAGTTATTTACATATACATATACTTTATCAGTTGTTACCCAACAGTGTATATGCTTTGTTGTTGAGCAGGTCAGTCGGTGCGCACCAGGAGAATCCTGCAGGAGGCTCATGAGGAGGGTCGGCCGTGTCCAAACCAGGTCACCCAGACTCAACCGTGTCCCATAAGGCCTTGCTACACGTGGCTGCTTAGTGACTGGTCCACATGCACTGTGGAGGTATTCGATCTGCGCTGTGAATGCTTTGCTTGATTGGAGATTACTAAGTCTAACCTTGATGTGACATTACAAAAAAGAAATGTTGTTTTGGTTAGCAATCCATTTTTCTTTCCATCTCTTTTTTAAATGTTTAAATGACATCTAACCGAACAGCCATATTAATTAAAGGTACTCTGTGAAATTTGTAAACATTAGTTTAGTATAAAGGAATGAAGGGAAATTAAATATGTATTAATACAATCAATATTTGTTTTAATTATCAAAGAAATTGCCTTTGCAAATGTTTCATGAAGGAAATGCATTCAGAACTGTTTTAGACATGTGGAAATAACACAAAATGTGTCTTGGTAGTTAAGACTTAAAGTCCACAGTGCACCTTTAGCATATACAAATTGAAAACAATATGCCATTTACATAAATATATGTATAGAATGAACATAGGGAGTGAGTATCCAACAGAGTCACATGCTTCTGTCAAGACCTTTTCCTCAATATATTGTGAGGAAACATCTCTTGATAAATCTTACAAAGACCATATTTGTGTGTGTGTCCTTACAGGATGCAGAGTGTGGCGAGGGGCTTCGGAAAAGGAGCCTGTCATGTGTGGTCCACCGGGGCAGCTGGCCCGAGTCCCCCCCCCAGCCAGTGGACCAGGAGCTCTGTGGAGACGAGCTGAGGCAGCGGATCCAACAGGAGATGGAGCAGCCCTGCTTCGTGCCCTGCCCAGGTAAAGCTGCTCTCTAATTATTTACTTTTCAAATGTTCACTATATAAGGTGTTATTATTTATGTAGTTGCATTTGCCATACAGTATGTTATAATTGGCTCAAATAGACCAAAACTACTACACGTTATTTATGTAATGGCAATAATTATTCGGCATTGGTCACTTGCTTCATAATCAATAATCTTGTTCATGAAAAGAAAACCTAATTTGCTGGAACCTGCCGATACACTGTCCCCTCTGCCAATCGGTTGACATTTCCACGGATAAATAATTATTGCAAAATCAATAAATGTCATAGATTAACTAATGAACCTTTTAGCTCAACATTATCTGGTCGATCATGTCCAGTAACAACTTGTTAAAAAGGACACAATGACCACTTGGATAGAATAAAGTTCACATGTATGTTTAATGCAGTGCCTCAATGCTGCAAAAGTCAATACTGACATTTTTTACAATCAATTATTTGAAAGATCTAATGGTTTCTTACACAACAGTGTTGCTAACTAAGATAATTCACAGCAATGAGATTTCTGCACTCCAAGAGGTTGTATGCCAGTACTAAAGCAAGGATTTTCGAATGGCAGTAATACAAATGCAACAACATAATAAAACGAGTTAAAATAAGAACTTTTTACTTAATACTTAATTAAAATGTGAGATAACTAAACGTATTTAAAAAATATGCCAGCTTACCCCAATTTACCCTTTTGAATCACAATGATTGATTAATTTGGAATGATGATCTTAGAAAATAATCGCAGTGCATCATTATGAAGCGTAAGAGTGCCTGAGGGCTGGCAGCAAAATCAGGGTTGGCACCCAGGAAATACTGGAAGCACAAGGTTGGGCTTTATGCAACTGATGAGCTGCATGTGTTGTCCCTCTACCAGCTGCTAAAGTAATGACCCTCATAACAGTTTAAGACAACCTCATTTGAGACCAGCAAAATGACAGTAAGACAAGATCCAATAGCCCCCACAAAAGGAAATCTAGAGAACCATCATCTTAAAATAGGAACATTTGCCTCATGTATCATTAAATACATATATTTGTAAAGCTGCTCATTTAATTTGCCAATAACAACAAGCTGTAATTGGCTATCGATCATGCCTCATTATATGTCCGTGTGGCATGGTAGCTGCAGAAGATGTGTTATGACCTATAGTTAAGCAAAAATGCATGAAAAATGTAAGCAATGTGTGGTTCGAAAACACCGAAACATTCTCCGAATTTAAAGTAGTACAGTTTGCTTGCTTCAATATTATTCTTTATTTATTTTAGTGTACTATTATGTTCTGTTGTTGCAATGGGGACAAATGAGTTTGTCTGTCGTAGGTGCATCACACAGCATTTCATCTTAGACCAAATACACCACTAAACCTTATTATTTATGATGTCATGTCCCAGACAATAATTACCAAGTAAATCAGATGCTAATTAAACAGAGACAACAAATAAATCTTAAATAAAAGGCCCTGCATGTTCATGTGATTAAATCTGTCTAGCAGTAGCCTACAGGCTGCCACTGCTGGCGATTAGTGTCAGAAGAATGTCTTTATTGTTTCACTGCAAATGTTAGTGCGACTGCGGCTGTCTGTGGTACACATCAAACACATAGGATGCTTTTTTCGATGAAATATAATGATAAAAGTGCTGGCAGAGTGCTGCGGGCACTGTGCATGCACGCTGTACCTTAAAAATAGAGTCATTGTAATAAGAAAAAGTATTCAGGTATATCACGTCACCGCTTGTCAGAAAAAAATCATCTTTAGGAAATGTAAAAATGGACTGAAACATTTAAATCAAACTGCTTTAAAATACCTTTTATTTTTTTATTTGTATTTATTTACTTTTAAGAAGCAACAATTCACACATGAACATCATACAAATGCACCAGATTAAGCCATAGAGGCGGTTTTTTGTCTTTTCCCTTTCCTGTATTGTGTGTATATGTTTTTGTGCACATAAATTATCTGCAAAGGGGGAGTTACTCTTTATTTATAGAACTATGGCATAAAGCATTAAGATGGTTTTTAATTGTATCATTATAAAGATCACCACAGCACCTAGAAGCTAGTAGATCACGACTAACATCCCATGATGCCCTTTGTAGTATTGCTTCTTTCATCCACTTTTAGGCAACAGAGCTGACAGCAATGACCTGCTTGACTTATCACTGTCTTGGTCTCCACACTGAACACGTGTAATGAAGCTCTATTGTCTTTAGGCCTACTTAGTTGTTGTGCAAACCAGCTACAAGGGTAACAGAATATACCCGTTTTTTAAAAAGAGAATCATTACCATCTGATGAAAGGACAACTCTGATGTCCTTTGTCATGGCTCTTGTTAGTTTTTCTGTGAACAGACACCATCTTGCAGTGCTCGCTTTCGCCTCTCGCTCTCCTCTGATCCTCGCCGCGATTCATCACTCCAGACGCTGTGAGCCTTGGCTCGGCATCAGAAGTGTTTGATGGCCGCAGCAGAAGTGTGTGTGTATTGGTGTCCGTATGTCTGTCGGGCGTGAAGGAGGTAGACGCAGCGCGGGGGCCGGGGGGGAGGGGTTGTCAACATGTATGTGATGTACAGTGTGTGTGTGTGTGTGTGTGTGTGTGTGTGTGTGTGCGTGTGTGTGTGTGCGTGTGTGTGTGTGTGTGTGTGTGTGTGTGTGTGTGTGTGTGTGTGTGTGTGTGTGTGTGTGTGTGTGTGTGTGTGTGTGTGTGTGTGTGTGTGTGTGTGTGTGTGTGTGTGTGTGTGTGTGTGTGTGTGTGTGTGTGTGTGTGTGTGTGTGGTGTGTGTGGTGTGTGTGTGTGTGGTGTGTGTGTGTGTGTGTGTGTGTGTGTGTGTGTCTGTCCTGCTGCTTCAGCCACAGCATGCTTCCACAGGCGTAGCAGCATGAGGGATGGGCTGATTGAGTGGATCCATATAAAGATGAAGGATAATGATATGCGTGGCTTACTAATGGGCGTTCAGGGCAGAGAATCAGAGGGTTCTCCTGGCTGAGGGGCTGAGGCAGCAGGTGATGTTATCACTACAAGCTGACCCTTATAGGATTACATGGGATATTAATGCTTGAACTACGAGATAGAAACTGATGGACAACTTATTTATTGACCCACAGAATACTCTAAATCCGCTAAAAACACATTTTATTTTCCTAAAGGACACGTTTTACATATTGGGTGTTGCTATTGTATTTCGGCTCAGAGGTATAGCTTGTATTGTATTTCTCTGGTTGGTCTATTACTTCTGAATTCCCGCTGGGTAATTTGTTTTTGTGAATTCGGTACATTATGAGCCGCAGAAGTTGTTTCTGATCTCTTTGAAATGTTCCTAGAGCTAGCAGGGGAGCCAATACAAAGTTCTCCGAAATACGTTTTGCAAGATAATATAAACCAGCCTCAAGTATCTGGAAAAAATAAGTGTTACTGATAGATTTGTGCCTATCAGTGATGTTTTTCTGACTCTTCCTGTCCTCAGGAGACTGCCATTTGACCGTGTGGTCGTCTTGGAGCTCGTGCCAGCTGACCTGCCTGGAGGGACGGAGTTTCGAGACCACCGGGCGCCAAGCTCGCTCTAGAGCCGTGATCATTCAGGTCATGGAGAACCAGGGAAGCTGCCCACATCAAGTGTTCGAGACCCAGCCCTGTAAAGGTATTGAAACAAATATTTGTTATTGAAATAAAAACGCGTTTATAGACCTTTATGGATGGGATGGGATTAATGAATCAGGAGATGGGAGTCATCTTTACATAACCTGATTGAAAAAGCCATACTTGAAGAAACTAAACACAATATCATTCTATTAAAGAGGACATATAATGCTTTTTGTGCTTTATTTTGTTATCACGCACAATGTGTTGGAGCGCTAGCCAATAGCAGCGTGATATTTATATAGTGATGTCACTGTGTTACGGAAAAAAGTGTCAGAGAGGGGATTTTAGCTTTTGAAGACCATTTACATTTACGAAAACCTATATAAAAAGGAAAGGAAGAACACCAAAAAAGCATAATAGGGCCTCTAATAATGGATTGGATTGGATTTGAAAAGATTGAGGGTGACAAACCCACAGTGAATTATCCCCCCCAGCCCTCAGCTCAATGGAGCATTAAAGCGTCTTCCAACTCTACATTTTGGCGACCCTCAGATGAAACCAGTACGCGACCAGCACTAAACAGCAGACATACAAAGCTAATGACTGGCTGCCGAACATAGTGGAGCATTGATCAGCTGAAGAGCCAAATATTTCCCTCAGGAGTTGGTCAAGTCCAAAAACAACTAAAGGAGAGTGAATTTTGGACAGAAATTACAAATGAATGCTAACGTCGCTTTGAGTGTGCTTGATGTGTGATTTCAAACATGGACATTTTTCCGACCCTAAACCGACCTGGAAAATAATCTGTAAAACACGTTTAAAAGGTAAATTAACATTTGTATTTGTTTCACTGACCTCTTATGGTTAAAGGACATTTCCACCTGTTACCACACACAGCCGTGATGTCCACACACCCTGAGTACATTTCTACATCACTGTTGCCATGTGGAGAACCCAGACCAAACAAAACTATGTTAACGTTTTTATACAACAATTAGGCCATATGTACACGGGAACGTTTGTGTTTATGCACAGTATGCGCTTTCAAAAAAGTATTCCGTTCACATGCATTCGTTTCATTTAACGTGTCTGTTCAAACGAGACCGCTGGAAACGCTGTAGTACATATGCCGGGACTGTAAGTGGCGCTGTACTTCCACATGAGACCGCTCGAAAGCGCTGGACACGCTGTAGTACATATGCCGGGACTGTAAGTGGCGCTGTAACTTCCGCCACAAAATACACCAAAAGCAGCGAAGAAGACCCCGGCGCAGCCCGGAGCAATGTTGCCATGGCTACCCTTCTGTTTATGCCCCGCGGTGGATTTAGCAACATGTAGTAGTTCATGTAATTCTCCATGTCCACTTGTTGCTGATGGTTGTGGTAGAGGAGCTGTAGATTTTGCACTAACATCTGTAGCATGGTCGAGCTGTAGATGTTGTACTAACATCTGTAGCATGGTCAGTAGCAGTAGCACTAGCAGTAGCTACTGACAGTAGCTACTGGCCATGCTACAGCAGTGAGCAGGAGAGGTGGGGCTATCGTTATTTTTTCAGGAAATATTCGTATAGAGGCGATTACACGGACTCGTTTGACCCCCCAGAGAGTTTCGTTTGCAAATCTATCCACCTTGGGACCCGTTATCGTTTGTGGGGTTCGTTTGTTACGGCCTCGTGTAAATAATAGGGCTAGACAACACGCCTTGGATCTTTAAAGGGGCCCAATTATGAAAATGTTCAGGTTCATATTCGTATTTTGTCCCTCTACTGTGACATGTTTACATGTCATGCATGAACAACTTCACACTTGATATGACAATAAAGTATTATCGTATTTAAGGTTCAAAAGGTTCTTTATTTTTCTCCTACCGTCTGTGCTGCAGCACCTCTTTTCACCCTCTGTCTGAAACCAGAGCCCAGTCTGCTCTGATTGGTTAGCTGGCCGGCTCTGTTAGAGATGTCCCGGCTCTTACTGTAGCTTATCACGTACACTTTTTTTGGAGTGCTAGCCAAAAAGAAGCGCAATTGATACATAGTGATGTCACTACGTTACTGAAATAAATGTGTGGGAGAAAGATTCCCTCTGGAGGGAACGTTTGGATTTTAGCCTTTGCAGACCATTCACATGCGCAGAAACCTATATAACACACTACAGAGACAAATGCCTCTGATTCTTAAGATTGAATATTAAAGTGAAGAATTTTCCCCCAATAAACATGAAATACTTCTTATTAGGGCCACGTAAAAAGATTTCTGTTTCATCCTGTTGAACTTGATACCTCACTTGGCTATTTTAATCAGTGTGTATTTGTGAGCTGTTAAACGTACATTTGTGAGGGAAGTATTACTGCGACAAAACACAACTCACACACTGCCACAGCTCATATAACAGATATCATGGATAGGAGCATTTCTTTGGGTTTCACTATGGAGCTGACTATCCAAAAAGGCTAAAGGTGTTTTACCAAGTGCTTTTCAAGCCAATTTTAGTTTTTGCAAAGTCATCATTTGATTCTGTATCACATGTCGGCAACACAAACGAAAGAGCTATCATCAAAGTGTCCGTTTTTCAACATAGTCACGATTGTCACACCAATGATCACATTTTGATGAGAAATGAAGGCTTTACAATTACTCCCAAGGGAGCTGTGTGTGTTTCACAAGGCATTACTGATTTATTGTGTTGGACTATCTGTGTCCACTTTGTTTCACTGTTTCTGTGAGCTGAATTTATTTGTGTCTTTATTATAAGTTTTTTACATCTTTAGTTGCTTACTTAAAATAATCTTTACTCTTTTTAATGTTTTACCTACATACCTTGATATATGTCACACAGTCTTGGGGAATTTTTTCATTTTTTATTAGCTGTTTTTTAAACTATGTATCATGGTAATTGGCTTTCATTTGACTCTAGCTCACCTTTGTAGCTAGCTGTGTGACTAATGTAAGTACGTGCTTTCCTATGGTGTTTCTTCTACTCATAATTAACACGACATGTGTGCCTAGATTTACTTTGATTCATAAAATCAGGCTCTTGTGTCTTTATCTGTTCCTCTCCTCAAATTAATGTTAAAGATAAGAGCCTTTCTTTTATGAAATAAGAGGTTTTTCATATTTTTCCAGCCAATTTCTCCCCTCTCATTTCCTCCAAAGATGCATTTGTCCTCTAGCAGAAACATGTGCACTTTTCCTATCATTACAAACACAACATGTCTTACCTTATATAATGTGAAGTAGCGGGGCCAGCAGGAGAAGTGGTAGTTAATGTCCACAGGAGCCTGACGACAGGCCAGTGCCCGAAACAAACTGCTAATGAGCATCGTCTCTGCCATTGCTGCAGGGGGGAAATGCCACAGCTACCAGTGGAGGACGGGAGGATGGAGCAACAACAAGCGGGCGGTGTGGTGCCAGCGCTCCGATGGTGTCAATGTCACAGGTGAGTAGCTGCCAAATATCTTCTGGCCACCCTAAAAGGTGTCACGCAGAAGCACTCAGAGGAACACACTGACCCAAATTCTTACATAACTATCTACTGTATATCTTGCCTAATGCACACTGCAGCCCAAAGTGTCCCAGTTCTTTTGTTTGTTCCCCGGCACTAAACTAAATCAGTGTTAACAGCAAAAAGCTGCACAAGGTCTCATTTTTCAATATAGCCTGCATTGCATATATATGTGTTCTACAATGCAGCTAGTTTAAATGCTCACTGAGGAGTTTGCCAGCGTTACCATGACAGGAAATCCATCTTCTTTCATTCTGGGAAAAGATATCACACCGGTAATTTTGTCAGAGATTCTTGCAGCAGGGGGTTTAAAAATACATCTACAATTGATTTTCTTGTTAGTTCTGGAGATAATTGAATGCTTGGAAACAAGGTAGACAGGTAGATGCAAAAATAGATGAAATGCATTTCGCAAACCTCCAATATCATTACAAAATATTTAGATTTTGCACAAGATGTGTTCAGTATCCTCCTGCAAGGGAATCTATTGGCATCATTTTAAAAATAATGCATAATAGGTTATAGTAAGAACTTCCTGTCTCCTGCACACAGAATTATAGCCACGCACACACATGAGGAATACTTTTAGTATAGCATTCTAGTTGAATTTAACACCTTATTTGATCTGCCAATACTCAGCGCAGCCACCATTGATTCCTCCTCTCCCTCTTAACATGAGTAATCAATAGCCCAGAGTCTGAGCTTGGAGGCTTTCAATCCATATAAATATAATCATGCATTTGTATTTGTGGGAGAAAAAAAAAATCAAGAAGCGTAGAGAAACAGAACAAAGGTAATAGCGCTGTGGGAACAAAAGCTTTAGGCGAGCTTGAAGTGCTGTAAATAGCGTCTGAATGTGATCTTATCGCTGTAAGGAAGTGTTTCTGGCAAATATGAGCCAAAAAGGGATAACCTCGCTCCGCAGAGAAGGCAAGAGCCCGAGGCATTACTCTTTGATATTTTGACATGCAATTTTCCGTGTTGGAATTAAAATGTTCACAAATTGATCAGGGACCGTGATAGGCAACCGGGCCCATTAATCAGGTGTGACAGTGCATTCATTTAGTGATCAATGGGTACAGGAACAGAAATAAGAACCTGTTGTCTTCCTCCAGGGGGTTGTTTCCCGCAGAAAAGGCCCACCACGATCAGACACTGCCATCCTCCCTGCACCAAACCCTTCTCACACTGCACACCGGTAAGATCATGGTTCTTTGATCAGGCAGCTGTGATCTGTGTAATTCTCTCCGTGTGTTTTGCTGTTTCCTGCTGCTAACACTTTCCACGTGAGCAGTTAAATGGATTTTGACAGATGCCACTTCTAATTGTAAAAAACAGGCATTTAAAGCAGGATCACATTAATACCAATGAGTGGGGACTCAGTGTCAGTTAGGGACTACACCTTGATGAAGGGGGGGGGGTGGGGGTAACTGCTATTGTGAAAATGACGAAGAATTAGCTTGAAGTTTTACTGCCCCTTAGAGTACCCTCCACGTAACTGCACGTAAAAAGGTGTAGCATTTAGGAAACATTTGACATTTTGGATGTTTAATGCAGGTCAAATGCATTGAAAACTCATCAAAAGTGGAGCCCATAATGCTTCAATGCTGTTAATTAAATAAATTACAAGGAAGATAAACTGTAAATGGAAGGATCTTATAGAATAATCATGAGAATTAAAATATCCTGTTCATATCTTAAACAACAATTTGAAAAAATGGGTGAGGTATATTGAATTACTAATGTTAGTTGTTGACAATTAATGTTCGTATGATAATTAATGATACATCCTTCAAATGTTAGTGTTATTTAACATTTTTGTTCTTTTTCTCATCCCTTTTTCTTCCCGAGTTGTTGATTAGTACTTTCTGTATTATCATTTTAACAGTTTTTTATTATGTTGTGTATACCCTGATATAATTTCTTCAAATGCAAATAAAAAAAAAAGGAAAAATCACTCTTATCTGATGAATTATATTTCAGTCTTTTCCTTCTAGTCTAGCTCTGGCTTTTTTATCAGTATTGAGATCTGGGAGGTGGCGCTGTAATGTACCCCCTGAGGAGCACAGTTTAATGTCAGGGTTGGAATCAATCAACCTGCGTTAATTGCAGAAATGATTTAAATCTAAAAGTCCCAATACATCGCAGGCTGGTTTTCCTGCGGTGGGAAAGTAACGATCACGGTGGTCTAGTGCTGGCTGTAAAATGATGTTCTCCCTCCGATGCAGAGCGGAGTGTGTGGGTGTGAGAAGGGTTACACTGAAGTGATGACCACGCACGGCTTCTTGGACTACTGCACCAGGACCCCGGGGGTGGACAACAACAAGAAAGCTGATGTGAAAACCAACTCTGGAAGATTAAAGCCGGGGCCCTCTCAGGCCCAGGACCTCTTCAGCGAGTGGACCCTGCGCCCTGTTGGCCCAGGTACTGAAATGGAAATCTTTCTAACAGCTCGGCCAGTGTGAATGAGATCCTTCCTGCCTTTGAACCTGCCTTTGTAGCTCCCAGATCTCCAGGCTGTGGGTGGAATCCATTCTGGGTCAATGTCTTAAATTGGCTGTCAGTGGACCATAAAAATGTCAAGAAACTCTAGTAGCTCCTGTTGAAAGGAGAATAACTTCTTTATACTGGCATATGAGAGAAAAAGATCTCAAGTCAAAAGCTGTATATGTTGATATATTCAATGTTTGTAATAAAGCTGCTTTTTGATTGCACAGATGGAAGAGTAAAGCTGTGGGTTTACGCCGTGACCGCCGTTGGATTCTTCTTAATACTCTTCATTATTGCATTATCCTTCTTGGTCTGGTATGTACTTTATTGCTTTCTAAAGAGATTGCTCACTATGCAAAATTCCAAGAAACAATAGAGCCATTGTAGGCCATCATGGTAGGTGAGAACAGACCGAGAAGCGAAGCTAAGTCCTAACCATCTGCTTTTCCTTGAAAAGAACCTTGTCAAGTATGAGTTATATTCCTAACAGTGTATTTTGTCTGCTGTGTGCAGCTGCTATCAGATAATGGAACTCTTTGTAAAGACTGAAATAAAGTTGGGTTGTCGTGTTCTGCTAAGTCAGATACGCTGTCAACTTTTCTTTCTTTTTCTATTTGTTTCAGTAATCCATCCAAAAGCAGTAAGGCATCTCTCCCGCCGCAGAAACCCCTGACCCTGGCCTACGATGGCGACTTGGATATGTAACTGTTATACCTCACAGGGACGTGCTCCACCTCGCACACTCCTGACTGCGTTCAGATTGTAAGCAAGCACGTCCTTCACATACTTCTGATTGTTGGCCGCTTTGAGCCGGGGGGGGGGGGGGAACATTTGCTGCACTGGAAAAAAAGCAGCGGACAGAACGAACCTGATTTACTGCTGAAGGACGATGTGGCCCAGAACTTTGGCTCCAACCAACCGTACCCCTGGAGGACGAAGAGGCGAACATGGGGAAAAGGAGACAAAAGGTCTCAAGACATACACAATGAATGGACCTCTAGTTTCTTTTTTCTAACTCCTTGCAATGTGAACATAAAGTGGTTGCAACCCACAAGTCATCAGGCCCAACTGAGTGGATCCACAGATGTTGATTTTCAAGGTTTTTGTTTTGGCAAGAATCAAAGGGACCACCTGATGGGTTGTCTCGTCTTTGTGTCAAGAGGGAGACAAAACATCTCGAGTGAGCAGTCATGACATTCAAAGACGGAAAAACAGAACGTTTGACATTTGACTTTGTTTCATCAGTGCCCGATCTTTGTAAAAGGAAATGTCACACACCTTTTAGTAAACAAACAGCCTTTTTTGAATTCCTGAGAATAAACACGATTTTCTATGCACTACGTTAGTGCTGATTCACCTCTGTTTGTTTTTTTCCTTTCAAATGACTTTTCTAGTGTTTTAATTGTAATGCAAGTTGTTGCTGTCAGATTGTGATGCCATATGTTGTGTAAATGTGGAAACCAAATGCAGGCTTGCCTTGAGTTTAACAAAAAACAATGATGCAGTACGTTTTCCTTCCCTGATTCTCATTGAACTCAACTTCTAAATTGTGGAATTAAGCCCTAAAAAATGGCAGACTGCTTAGATAAAAAAAACAGCTGTCAACGATTTAAAGAACACACACAAACCTTTAATGCATTTTCTCAGATACCAACATAATAAATCATACCTCATACACACCTTTTCATCAAACAAAACAAAAGTAACACTGTTTATCAAAGCAGAACAGAGAGGAGGAATTATCCACTGGATCACACGCAGTGTATTTTTAGAGCAACTATGTTTTAATTATTCCAAAGGGATGTCATACTTCATTTTCTTTTTACACCATTCATTCCCTACCATCACACCTAAAGGAAAAGTCAGAGAGCAATGCGGGAAGCTAGTTTTTCAGAGCGTTGTGTTCTTTTCTTCCTGTTATTATTTTCATGTTTTGCATCACATCCCAATACCCTGAAAGACAGCAAATGCCAAAAGAAATATGAGCACATATTTACTAAATAGGTTACCTCTTTTTTTGTATTTGTTCAGATCATGCACAAAAGTAATCACAGTACCAGTCATTCCCAAATTCTGGATTATTTAGTATCATGAATTCATGGGTCCTTCAGTGCATTATTACGTCCAGCCAGTGGAAAATGAGGTACCTAATATTTGGTGTTCTTCTCACTGACCAGAGTTTACGCTGTTTCTCTTCCTGCCTCCACAAAATGAAGATTTGGTCTTGTGTTATCTGACCTCCTTCTGAATGTATTTTACCAGTGACTCTATAATCTTAACGGCTGTTCAAATATAGTTGTTACAATTATATTTACACAGCTGATTTTATGTAAGCATGCTTGATCCATTTTTGACAGAAAGTGCTCCGAGATGCCTTTGCGAAAATTCCTTTTTACAAGTTGCCAAACATTTTACAGTAGTTTTCTTTAATGCGTTGTTTATAACATTTGGTCAACAGCGAGACAATGTGAAGAATATGTGGAATCCAATTGTGAGACATCTATCATTTCTAGACAACATGATCACCTAATAAGCACGTTATCTGGTGAAATGTCCATTATAAAACAGCCAACTTCTGACCTGATTCTATTGGGTTGTATCCAGGAAAAACTAAAAGTATGTTCACTCATTGTTTACAGTGCCATGCTATTTGTGTTACTATTGTGTGTACATGGAGAGCTGGACAAAAATGCAAAATAAATTGTGGAACCATGTGGAAATAAAACCCTGCAGACTTTCCTCTTGGTCACACATTCCCGTGTTCAAACTGAGTGAAATGTTGGCGAGATGCTCCAGTCCTGCTGTGATCTTCATCGGCTCCTTGACTCTCAAATCCTGATAAATTGTAATTACTGAAACCGGCTCCGAGGCAGAGCCCAGAATATGTAAGAAGCTGATAAGATTCATCTTGCCCTCCAGTCAGATTCCCCGCTCTGATAGTCCCAGGATGCTCGCAGGTTGTGAGGGAAACGGTGTTTAAATCTTTTGTCTCATCGAATTCATTTATTTAAGACTGTCACTTTTGTTTAAGCGAGGGTTGAATCCAAACGCTTGTGTCACGGCCATCTGATCGCTGGGCTGATCTTGTCATGTCCAATTCATCTCATGTTATTGGCTCTTGAGACATGTGCAGGTTTCTGTGAACAACGTGAACAGTTTGACAATAGCGGCGGCGTCTGGTTTTAATCACGATGCATTTATTTCCTCGAGCTGTATCATTTTAATAAAATGCAGGATGCTGTAGTTTTTTAGCAGAGATGGAACCTAATGAATATTTAGCAGGAACAATGCATAACCTTTTAAAATGATGAAAGCTTATTTACATTCATTACTGAGTTATTATAGGCAGGAATTATATGTTTGTATTCACCACAGCGGATGATGCAATTCTTACAGTTTTGTCTTCCCAAACTGAATATTTTACTGTATTTTCCAGAAAAAAACAACACATCCTGAACATGATTTTTTGGACTTTATGGAATTTTCTTTTATTGAACATCATTTTTTGATCAAAGTATAAACCTGGCAACACAAGTCATCAGCCTGAAATGAACCAGGAATCACAGTCTCATACTGGAACTGCATGCAGACCTGATCCCCCGTATCTGGATCATACTTATATCAAGGGTCACAGAAAAGTATCAAGAAGAGGTGTTTCCTTCAGGGTGAATTGTAATAACTTGAAAATGTTAACTTGTCTTGTAGTGCACTGCTTCCCAACCTGGGTTAGGGTTACCTGGGACTGCTTAAAGCTTCACAGGTCCGCAAGGTCCTGTTTTAGGGGTTACGGGACTTTTTTTGTAATATACTGTCGAGCTAAATCTTAACATTTTATTCATTTCTGTAAAGGAACATTTTAGGAAATTTGTGTTATTATTTTATTTTTTGGGATAATTCTTTAAACTTACAGGATAAGGTCATGGTGTGGCCAATAACAGGAGTTATTATATTCCGAGCCTTATCTCTCTGCTGAACAGCTCTAAAAAGTTTGCAGATAAAACTACAAAATACTTTATAGAAAGCTGACCAAGCACCGGGGAGAAGAAAACACTTACTTTGAAAAAATAAAGATTAAATATGTATGATTGTTGACATAAAAAAAAATACATAATACAAACAATTATTTATATAATTCCCCGGCAAAAAAGTTCCTAAAACAATAACTCAATATTCCCCAGAAAACATTTGAAATGGTTGTTTATTACTTGTTGTGATTTGGGTTAGTTATACATTATTCTGAACTGTTATTATTTATTAAATATAGTTTGAAATATCCCTATTTATTTAGTTAAGCGTGAGAAACTGTAGAGCCACTGTGGATAAAGTTAATATAATACATCATGTATTACTTCATGTATTACTTCATGACCATAATCCTACACAGCTAATGATGTTCCCCTCAGCCTCAGCTGTACATTATGTTCAGTGCTAATTAGCAAATACATGCTAACATTCTAAACCGCAATGGTTAACATGGCAATCATTATGCTTGGTAAACATCAGCATATTAGCATTTTTATCGCGGGTATGCAAACTCATGCTCAAAGCACCGCTGTGTGTAAGTACACCCTCACGGAGATGTGACTGTAGACGCTCATTAAATATGACCTTTGTGTTTAGCATTATATAATGTATGTGTGTCTCTGTGTGTGTGTGTGTGTGTGTGTGTGTGTGTGTGTGTGTGTGTGTGTGTGTGGTGTGTGTGTGTGTGTGTGTGTGTGTGTGTGTGTGTGTGTGTGTGTGTGTGTGTGTGTGTGTGTGTGTGTGTGTGTGTGTGTGTGTGTGTGTGTGTGTGTGTGTGTGTGTGTGTGTGTGTGTGTGTGTGTGTGTGTGTGTGTGTGTGTGTGTGTGTGTGTGTGTGTGTGTGTGTGTGTGAGAGAGTGTGTGAGAGAGTGTGAGAGAGAGAGGCAGTTGTTTACTTTGATATCCAAATGAGGATCCAGTACTGAATCAGACAGAGTTTGTCAGACTGAGTTTCTGCTTCATCAGATACAAGAGGGAGTTCAATCCAAAGATGTGAAGCTCAGTATAAAAATACTTGTTTCCACCTAAAGACTTCTAATCATCTCGATTTCAGGTACAGCGGTCCTTATTATACGAAGACCAGCACCTTGGTGAGAGTGCGGAGGTGGCACATGGAAAACAATGAAGTCTTATAGATACGATGGTGCAAGCTGGTGTAATTAAAGAGGGGACTTTGAAGTTCAGCCTGGCTTCAACTCTGAGCCAATGAAGGCAGGACACTGATGCAGTAATATGGGCAAGTGTCCTGGTTTTATGCATGCTCTAGCAACAGTATTTTATATAAGCTTAGGCATAGGTGGCGTGTGCAAACATATTTAAAACTATCATACCTGTTTTAATCACCGCAGAAGACTTAATGATGTATTATAACAGTGATTATATGCAGCTACTGACATACAATAACGCACAGCACAGGAGCTACAGGGTACTGTGTATAGCAGGTGCTAATGCATTTTTATGCAACACAAAGCAATAATAATGCTATATAAAAGCTTATTAGGCTACAGACATTCAACTATGCCTGGCTAATATGCTACTGCCACACATTTAAAATGGTTACTGATTGTTGAGCGCTGTACAACAACACGATTAAACACAAGTTACGCCAACAAATGAAATGCATAAACAAAGTTTAAGCTTCCCTCTGCAAATTCTGACAGAATTTAAAACAGTTAACACTGATAGTGATAAGTTCTTAATAGTTATCTCATCATTGACTGAATTATCTAGCTTCATTACCTGCCGCGCCTGATCAAAAGGTTTATTCT